TTTTATTTCCTAATTCTTGCCTTTTATTTATTTAATTTTATTTTTTTAATATATATATATAATTCGAAATAGAAAAAGAAAAAGAGTTAAAAAGCTAAAAATATTTATAAAAATAATAGTTTAGTTTAAAGATTTAGTATTAAAAGTATTATATTTATAATAATAGAATATATAGAGGAATTATAATTAGAAATCGAAGTAAAATTATAAGAAAAATATAAGAAAATCGAGGTTTTAAAAAGTTTAAAATCGGAATTAAGATATTTTTCAAATATATATATATATAGTATATATATATATTCTGGAATAGTTTTTCTAATATTATAATAATATATAAATAAAATAAATAGTTTCTAAGTTTATAGTTTTACTATTATAGAAATAGTATTTATAGAAGTTTGAAAATTCGAAGATTTATAATTAAGGTATTTTTAATTAGTTTCTAATATAAGAAATTATTAAAAGTAAATAAGTAATTGCTTTAATAGTTTATAAAAATATTTAGCTTTATAAAATATTATTTTTTATAGAATTATTTCAAATATTAAGAAATAATTAAATAGTTTCTATTTAATTAAAAATAGTTAAATAAATAGCTATTTCTATTAGTAAAAACTAGTTATTTTTTTTAAGTTACTAGATATTTTAAGGAATTAATAAATAGTTTTCCCTTTTAATATAGGAATAGATTAAATTATTTTTAGTTATTAGATATTTTAAGGCTTTCTATTAAATCTACTTCTAATTTATATATATAAACTAATTAGTATTAGTTTATTAGAAATACTAAGTATTATTATATATAATTATAAAATACTAATTATATTTATAATTAGTAAAATAATATATTCTAGAAATAGAAGTTTAGTTTAGGAAATTAATTTCCTGAATTATACTTCTAGTATCTATTATATTTAATTGGGTCTAGTTTATAGAATAAGCTATAAATATAATATAGTATATAATATTCTATAAAAGTATAAATAAATATTTAATAAGCTTATCTTTATTTATATTAATTTTTAATTTTTATATACTAATTATAATAATATAAATAAGAGAATATAAAAGGAAAAAAAGCGAATAAATGAAGTTAATATAGATAATCTATTTAATCCTGAGGTTATTAAGCTATAAAGGCTTGATTTAGAAAAGACGACTTTATAATATTTAGAATAATATTTCTAGAGGACTTTAAACTAAACGATTTTATATTAACTAAATCGATTAGTAAGCAGAGAAGGGCTAATTCTATTAAGGTTATTCCGGAGATTCAGGGTGATTTTTAGGGCTTTTAGGGCCTCCCTAATTAGTATAATAACCTGGAGTTTCAGGCCTTTGGAAACAATTATTGGGATTACCTAACCTAATTATACTCTCCTTTATACATGAATTATACCCTCTTTTATACTATATTACACGAGCTGAAGAGCCTTTCGTAATATAAAGTCGAAGAGCCTTATGTAAATTACGTAAAGTATAAAGTCAGCCATCCCTATTAGAGATGCTGCCACGGATGTGTTCCTCCCCGTTCGTTAATACAAGCGATTAATCAATTGCCCCCTCCTATTAATTAATCGGACGCTATGATTAGTTAATCGGGGCTAATTACGATTCGGGCTCTATAGTGGGTCCCGATTAATTAATCGCATAATATTGGGGTTTCGGGGCTAATAGGGCTAAGGGAGTTAAAAGCTTTTACTTACTAGTTCATACTAAATATATCCTCAATTCTATATTCTTTACTTCGCTTAAGCTTTACTCTTTATACTATAATATAGATTTCTAATATTTAATACTAAGTATATCCTCAAGTCTAATTTTCTTATTTTGCTTATATCTTACTTATTTATACTATACCTATAGTATTATATAGTTTATTTAATTTTTTTCTAGGTATTAAGGCAAATAATAATAGGAGTAAAAACACTTCTCTAGAGCTTCTAGATATATATGGGGCCTTTACTTCCTTATTTTCTAGATATAGTTCATACTACAAGTACTACAAGCACTAATTTACCAAGTATAACTACTGATTTTTATATCTCTTAATTAATTAATTACCTTACTTCTAATATGTCTCTTTTAATCCTTCGTTTATCCCCAATCCCGCATATGCCTTATTAGTATATTTATAGGCAAGCAGAGTAATATTTTAATATTACTGCTCTAGGAGCTTGTTCGTCTGGTATCCAGTTTTTGCCCTCCCTAATTACTAAAGAGCCTACTAATAATTAGTCTGCCGAAGACAAAGCTGTATGGGATTAGAGGCTTGCTAAGGGGGGTAGTAGGAAAATTCTTATTACTAGAAAACGTATGGATATTAGATAGTGGCTTCAAAATCCTAATACTCCGCTTTCTAGTAGAACTAAGGCAGAGAAATACTACTAGGCTAATATTAAAGTACGAATCCCACTTATACGAGCTTCAGGATAATTAAGTATATTATAAGGAGTACTATAATACTCGCTATAATAAGATCCTTCTAGCCCGGTATATTCTTTACTATAATAATACCTTTGAGATTTTGACTACTATTTATGAGAAATTAATATATATAGGTAAATATTTTCTTAAAGCTACTAATTTTTATACTAATTATATAATAGCTTCTAATACTATATTTGAGTATATAAGACGACTTTGGCATGGCCTATCCCGTAATAATTACGCTTAGATAAGTACCTATTATACTTATTATAATAAGGAGAAGGCTTAAAAGAATAATATAGGAATAATACTTATTTAATCTTATTATCCTGGCTAGTATATGGTTCTGGATTTAATAGATTTTCGTATAAGTATTTCCTAAGTTATATGATTTACTCCTATTTTAGCCTTTCCTATATTTCCTATATTTCCTATATTTTTGAGCTTTTCCTGTAATTTTCGCGATTTTTGCAATTTTTGCGAAAATTATAAAAATTGCGATTTTTATCTATATTACTTACTAATATTATTATAGTATAATCCGGATAGAGAATATATATAGATCTAGTAATTAAAATGCCATTTTTCCAAGTTTGTTTAGATCCGTAAGCTTAAGGCTAAGACTGCAGACGAAGCTATAAATAAGCTTATTAAATAGCTAAATGAAAATGGATATATTACTATTCTAGCCTGTAATAATAGAAGCGAGTTTAAGGAGAAAGTAATTAAGGTTTATAAGAAAAGAGAAATAAAGATTATTTGCAGACGAGCTTATTACCCCTAATTTTAGGGCTCTATTAAGGTTACTAATTAAATCTTCAAGAAATAACTACGGGCTATACAAGCAGATACTAGTATCTAATCTTGGATATAATTACTTCCTTTAATTATATAAGTAATTAATACTATGGCTATATCTATTCTTTCTAAGAGTAATATGCCATATGAGGTCTGGTTTAGACGAAAGCTACCTACTAATTTCCTAAATTATAAGGAAAGTGCTTGCCATATATATATAGCCTTAGGAGAGAGGGAAATCAATATTAATAAGAATAGTGCTTCTGAATAATTATCTACTATTAAGGTTTAAGGAGAAGAAAATAATAGAGAGGATAGCTTATTTATTAATAAGGAAGCAGAATAGGAGGAAGTAGTAAAGGAGATAATTTTGTCTAAACTAATTAAGAGGGTTACGGAGCATATAAAGAAATAGTAAGAGAAGATAGTAAAGAGGGCTAGTACTAAAGCTCTTGAATATAATATTTAGGAAATCGCAACCTTATAGATCCCAAAGTAATATTAATTTAGTATAGAAATGGCTCGGATTCTAGTAAGAGTTCTGGAAAAGATTTCAAAGATATATAACTTATAAGGATATACTTTTAGCTAAAGCTAATTAAAAACAGGGCTACCGGTTAACTACTAAGTATAGTAAGCTTATAACCCTCTGGCCGTATAATACTCTTAATAAAGTTGCTTTATAATTAACTTATCCTGATTTGCCTATTACTGGTACGGCCTATAAGAAAGACAAAATTACCCTCCCTAAAGCAGTGGCAAAGGAGAATAATCGGGGTTTAATTTCGTTAGTTCAGAAGGCTGGAAGGGTATCTGAGAGAGCAAAAAAGAGAGTAGCTATTGAGCAAGCACGTGAGCATGGAGCTAGAGAAGGGGAATCAGGTAAACAAGTAGGTGTGAGGGTACCAAAAAGGGCTAGGGTAGCTATGAAAGCACCTAGACGAAGTGGGAGGCATGTATAATAAAGCTTGATTTGGGTGAAGTATACTAATATATACTGCTTTTGCCATTCCCGAAACCTTAATATTACCCGATTAGGTAATCGGGGTCCCGATTAATTAATCGGGACCTACTGTGGAGCCCGAATCGTAATCCCCCCCCCCATTGATTAATCGGGCGCTACGATTGATCAATCGCTCGTATTGACGAACGGGGGGTATCAGATGGGTCATGTGCAGATAAGCCACATGCAGAAGCATCCCACTTGGGCTACTATCGCCCGGCTTAAGCTGTTCATCATTCAGGCAAGGCTGCGAATTGTTAAGACAGCTTTTCCTTGATTTATGCCAAGGCAAACAGCTGCCTAGATGGAATGTTGGGCGAACTTGTATTGGTGGCTTCTTTGAGTCAAGGACGGGATACCCCCGAACTCTGCCCGTCGTCTGCCCGTCGTGCTCGTGTGACACGACATGTATTTGGCACGGCTGGGTTTTTGAGTTTCTCCGAGGATTCTCGAGTTGAGGCTAACGATGGAATTCCAATTGGCTCGGAGATCTGTTTGACTCATGCACCATGCAACCACTATCACATATAAGTCTTTCCCCGGCAAGGCTGGCGGCTCAGTGCGAGATGCTGGGCAGGATCGGTTGGCTCGAATATCGGAACCGAGCTCCAGCTCAGCTCAGTTGGGCAGGGATGTAAGATCTGACTGAGGCTCTACTTATGACTCGTCTGCTCTCATTAGATAGAACAGCTCCTTCCGTCTTTTGTCTGTCGAGTTGCTCAACTCACTCTTCCTTGGCGACTCGGCGTCAGTTTCAATGACTTCAAACATGACAGCCTCACATTTCTGTGAGGCTGCATATTGTGGGACACCCGATCTCCCACGCTGGTTCTGCGCCAGCTGCGACTCGTTCTTTTGCACGGCTTGCTGGTTATTGCAAACTCCACATCTCCCAAAGAAGGTTGGACTCGATGGATTGCCACACGAAAAAACCGATGTGAATGTGGTCAACAGCCTGAAGGGCATTCTCGACCCCCCAAGCAGCCTAGATACGCTGAAGAAGCTGCATGAAGACGATGCTGGCAGCAAATGGTTTGGGGTTGAGCGCAGTGAAAATCAAAATCCTGTGACACATCTCCATACACCAGTGTTTAGGAACTATGGAAGGTATGCCACACTGATGGCAGAAAGTCGTCCTTCGAATGGCTGTACAAGATATCCTCAATTGGTGTCGTTCATCGGCCAGACAAGTAAGTAAACTATTCATTTCACAACTTGGCTGACATGTTAGATGCTGGGAAAAGCACCCTGATCAAGATGCTCATATCTCACGGGCTGCTTAAGAGCGGTGACTCGACCTCTGACTTTCCATCTCCTGTCGTGGGAGCAAGTAGGCACGACAATCTACCTACCTCAGGCGATGTTCATCTCTATGCCGACCCATCTACCATACACAGCCAGTTTCCCATGCTGTACGCAGATTGTGAAGGTCTCGATGGTGGTGAACAAGCCCCACTCGCCAACCAAGCCTTGAAGAACACAGCCCCTCACCCATCGGAGGAAGTTAAAAAGCTTGTCATTGGTGGAGCGAAAAAGGTCCTTGAGTGGGCGAAAGATGATGTGACAAGTGGAAGAGAATACGCCGTGAAGCATTTATATCCGCGGCTGCTCTTTACTTTCTCTGATGTTATTATCTTCGTTCTTCGCAACCCAAAGTAAGCTCAATCCCCAAATCTTGTCCTTTTCATACACTTATCCATCATCCAGGGCCTTTGAGTCTGTAGCATTAAAGCTCCTTCTTGATTGGGCAGCTTCTTCTCTAGAAAAATCACTCAATCAGCCGATACTTCCCCATGCCATTGTTGTTCTCAATGCAACAGATCTACAAGTCCACGAAGACGAATGGGATGTCGAGAAGGCCACCAAAAACTTGATGGAAAAGATTAAGCATGCTGTCGACATCGACCCTGACTTCCGAAAATACAAGGAATGGTGGCGGCTGAAGGGTAAAAGGATCAGAACCATGGAAGAGCTCATCAAATGCTACTATTCTTCAATCTCAGTCGTGCGAATACCTGCGAAAGGCCGTTATATGCTTATCAACGACCAACTTGGGAAGTTGCATGATCGTATCATACATGATTGCGATGCCGCCTTCTCTGCCCGGCAGAGGGTCCGCATGCTTCCTCATGCAGATGAATTGAACGAATACCTCGAAGCTGGGTTCAACCACTTCTCGAAGCGACTCGACGTTCCGTTTAACTTTGTCGAGATTGCAGTAAGAAACCATCCGGTTCCTCAAAATTTCGGAGATCATGTCTCAAATCTGGCAGCCGATATGCAACAGAAGCATGAATACCACGATGCCACTATCATCTTCGAAGAGCTAAGCCCCTTTGTAGCTTCTTGTCTTCTTCTAGATGCTGTTCGGGGGCGTCGTCCTGGTCAGCACATACATCCTTTCCCATGCTCTACTGAATATCTAACTATCTATAGGCCACCTCATGGACTTCTTCAACAAATATTATAGCAATATGTGTAAAGGGGCACTGGATCGGTTCTGCGATATGTTTTGGCCTTGTTCCTTTCGCGATTCTCGCGGACGTGCTTGTCGCAACATGAGAGCTGGCCATCTATCAAAAGGCCATCAAGATGGGAACGGCCGAATCATTGGATCTAGAACTTCTGGTCAATACGAATCCAATTTCTCGCGGGAGGTCTACCAGAAAAAATGGCTCGAGTCCATCAAGAGAAATCTGGAAACCTGTGATGCTAAGCTGCAGCAAAAACGCCAGTCCATTGGAGCTAGCCAGTTGAAGATATTGGAGGCCGAAGACGCATTCCAATTACATCTTGAGGATCACGTACAGGTCTTTTTTCAGGATAGGAGAGGAGCTATGGATTATATGAGTCTAGCTACTTGCTATTGCTGCTTGATGAAAGTACCTGAGCATCCTTTGCCATGCGGCCACGTCCTATGCACCGATTGTGTCAAGAGCTATGGAAAGAGGCTGGAGCATTCATCTGTGAGCATGGACTCTTGTCCGCTGCATCCAGAAGAATCGAAGGCCTACGGTTATTGGGTGGTCCGCTTCAAGCCTGATTTTGCTGGAGTACGGGTCTTATCATTGGACGGGTAAGTCAATGTGCAGTTCCGTGAATTGAGCTAATGTTTTTTTTTCTTCAATAGAGGCGGCGTCCGTGGTATAATTGAGCTGGAGGTATTGAGAGCGATTGAACGAGCGATCGGAGGCAGGATTCCTGTTCAAAGATTCTTTGATCTCATTGTAGGAACAAGGTAAGCTTATTTCAAATTACCAATGCATGTGGTCTAATAAACTTGTTAGCACTGGCGGTATAATAGCGCTCGGAATTGGTGCCAAACATTGGTCAATAAGGACGAGCACGGAAAAGTTCTCATCCTTGTGTGACCAGGCTTTCACGCCCCGTGAACTATCGAGCGTGAAAGTTGTCAACAAAGCGGTAACACTACGACATGGAAGTAAGTATAAGACGAGGCCTCTTCATCGCTCCTTGAACACTGCGTTTGGCGAACAATTCTTGTTCGGTGGGGAACAAGAGACGGATACCGCATACATGACAAAAGTAGCCGTGGCCACCACATCCGGCACAGGACAAAATCCGATAATCTTATCAAATTACGGCCGAAAAGATGAGCCACGGCTTAATTATCAGATTGAATTCTCTCTTGGCTCTCGTCTGGGACTGAAGGTTTGGGAAGCAGCTGCGGCCACCTCTGCCGCCCCTTCCTTTTTCAAGCCGTTCGTCCATCCAAACGCCGATCGAAAATATCTTGACGGCGCCCTCTATTTCAACAATCCGATCAAGATCGCAAACAATGAACGGAAGCTTCTGTGGCCCGAAGTCGCCGATTGTCATCCCGATCTCATGCTTTCTATCGGAACGGGACAGAACCAAGAGGAAACTGAGGCAGGCGTGGCGAGAGGTGCAAAAAGCCAGAACGAATTAGAGAAACGTAAGACGGCTAAAAAGTATGGGAAAACAGATGCCGCAGAAAAGAAGCAGACATCTCGCCCGAGACGCGTTTTCCGTGCTGCTGGGAATGCCAAGAACTTCTTTTCGGTTTTGGTAAGCCTGTTCCTGAGAAATATTCGGAAGAGACATTGGGCAAAAGGATGACGATACTGATCCGACCGGCATTCTAGGTCAACCGCATGGAAAGTACTCTTGATTCGGAACTAGCATGGAGGGATTTCGTTGCTGATATATTTGGGGCAAACAACTCCGATGTCAACTGCCAGCGGTACATACGCTTGAATCCCGACTTGAAAAGTGATGTACCTTCAATCGATGCCAAAAAGGACTTGAAATCTCTTCAAGACAGAACTATTGACGAGCTCTCATCTTCTGCCAACAAACGATTGATTCGTAGCATCGCTCATCGGTTGATTGCTAGCTCTTTCTATTTCGAGAAAATGACGCCAAAGGAAATTCATGCCTCAGAATCCTTTGTTTGCTCAGGTATGTTGGTTTATTGCATTGAATGCCCACCGATTTACTTATTCTTCCGCAGGACTACTCCTATGCCGTTTCGAAACGGGCACTACCGAAGTACGAGAACTTGGACGTTACCTCAAAGGAAGACAAGAGCGCGATTTCCAACCACACTTCTTGATCCGAGATGGTGGAGACAAGTCAGAGAGTCGAGTATGTACTCATTCTCTATAGATTCTTTTTCCATTTCGTTAGATCCGATTCTTAAATCAGGCATCTCTTGGCTATAAAGTGCTAACTTCTTAGGTAATCATCACGCCTGAAAAGCTCAACACTATGATTGACCGCGGGGTCTTTGATCTTGGACAGCAAGATATCAAAATATCTAGCAGACAAACACCCACGACAATCTCACTATCATTCGCCGAGTATGAACAGGATCAGCAGGAGCTGTACTGTATTAGTGGATTCCCAAGAACTCTGGTGATCGAAGATTCCGCAAGAGGTAAGACGCACCGTTTGTGATCGTGCCGTTCTCCACATTTTGCTCATCATTTTGCAGAAGAACAACTCGAGCGTCGTCGAACAGCCGCCAAGACCAAACGTCCCCCAATTCGAGTGACGACAAGCGCACCTGCTGATCTCAGAGGGGAGACCCTAAAAGCTCAAGAACGACTGTCGTCAGATTCCGGAATCCCTCGATTGAAACAAATTATCCAAAACATGTTGCTACCACCGGAGCCTGCTCAAACATCAAACAGTGCCTCCAAGAAGCCAAGTCTCATCAACTTAATTGACGACGAGCCGCCAAATCCTCAAAGCCCGACACAAAATCTCTCTATCTTGTCGAGTCTTACACCAGGCAAATTCGGTCACGTTCAGACATTTCCGACTGACCAGAGTCAAAATCTGTCCGATCTTTCAAGTCTCACCCCAGAGAAAAGTGGGTATACTGGCCACCCACTGACCCGACCGAACAGTCTGCCGATCACCTTGCCATCATCAACGCTTGACGTAAGGGAACCAGAGGTCTCCGAGAGCGTTACTCAGCACGCCCCTTTCCAGGATATAAACAACGATGGCGAGGACGACGGCGACTCAGATAATTCGTCAGAGATGTACTTCAGGAATGAATATGGTGACGACGATCCGGGAGACTTGTCGGAATACGAATTTGAGGAGCAAACAAGGATGGTAGAAGGCAAGGTAGACGAGGTCAAAGGTATTAGTTATAAGACAAACGTATATGCGGTAGGAGCTCATGGTTGAGGCATTAGCTCAAACGACAGCCTTTCGCACGGTCCCAGTTTGAATATTAGTTCAAGTTTTTTCCATCGATTTTCGGTGGTGGGCACATTGGAGTTGGATTCTGGATTTCACTTGCGTTGCTTGCGCCTTTCCTGTGTTCTTCTATGTCTTCTGCTTCTTGCAGTAAGGGCTCTGCTATGATACCAGCTTGAAATTATGCAACGATTAAGATTATGATATAACAATCATACTGATTCTCCCGCGACTCCTATGCGCAAAGGCTAGCAGGCTATTTTTAAATCTCGTCAAGACTTCTTCTATGCTTGAAGCTATAGAAGTACCTAAAGCAACCCGGACTTTGCACATTTAATTGAAACACTTGAGATGAACTTACTTGACAAGCTCTTCTAGAGCATATATAAGAGCAAAATTGTAGCAAGGTGCCTAGTTCCAAATCAATTGTGCACTTTTGAATCTCAGTGTATCTCAATGACTTCATTCGGTGTGACTGTAATATATACTTATTATTGAGAAGTCAGGCAGCATCGGAGGAAGGCCCGTGCGCCTGCACGTGGAGTAGGCCATGGCCTATACGGAGATCTCCGCTGCACTAAGCGAGAGACACATGCACGCGTATGTATATTTATATGTGCCTGCTTCTAGAGATCTACTTCTCTCCTTAATCAAATTAATTAGTCTTCTATAAAGCCTATTCCTACTATACTATATTCTAGGTCATTCCTAGACCTAGTTTTAATACTTATAGTACTAGTTCTAGTAATCTTAATTAAATAGTTCTTTACTAGTATTAGGGCCTAGTAAAGAATATTTCCAAATAAAGCTCTTATATAAAAAGTCCTTTATTACGAGAAAACTAAACTAAGGAGAAAAGAAAGAAAAGATTAAATAGAGGATTCTAAAATAATTATAGGTACTCGCTTATAGATTAGCCTAAATAGGCTTAATACTATTCCTATAAGTGAGATATAATTATATATAATAAGCTATAGCTTAGTTAGAACTAAGGAGCCTAAAATAATAGGAAACCTAAACTCTAATATTATTTCCTTTCCTAAAAAAAAGCTTGCCTTTAAATAAATAAAAAGTACTAAATTATTATCTAAATTATTATAGTTCTTTATTTTATTCTCTTATATTTATATTTATTTTACTAGCTTTTTTAATAGTTCGGGTTATTATTAGTTAGCTATATAATAAGCTTAGAGCTTATATAAAGAGTATTTGAAATTAGAAACCGAATACTAATTAAGGTTTTTATTATATTTTATTTAGCTAACTCTATATTTAATTTTTAATACTAAAATTCTTATACTTTATACTTATAATCTAATATAACTCAGATTAGTAGTAATAGCTTATTTACTTAGTTAAATAGAGGGTTTTTAATAGCCTTATATAAGTAGTTAAAAGAAAATATATTATAGATTTTAATATTTTCTAGTATATAATTAAATAAAATCTAGCTATTTAATAATTTAACTTATAGCTAGAGTATTATATCTTCTAATTCTTAATTAATATATATATTATATTTCTTATAATAAAGTTTATTAATTAGTATTTAATATTTATATACTTTTCTATTTTCTCTTATATTTTCTTTACTTTTTTTAATAGTATTCTTTATTTAATTTATAATTTACTATATTTATATAATATTTAACTCGTTTTTTTAATTTAGTATTTAGAAAAGTCTAATTAAAAGAAGTTTATAAAAAGTAATTATTAAAGATATTTTAATAAAGCTATATATAAATAAAAATAAAAATAATTAATTATTAATAAGAATTCATTTTAATTATTCTAGTAATATATAATATATAATTAAAAATATTAGTTAATATACTAGTTTATAATTTCTATTTATTTATTAGTCTAAAAATAATAAGCTATTAATAGCTTTAGTTTTATATTTAAGAATCTATTAAACTCATTTTAAAAAACTAAAATAAACTATAAGCTATAATTAGAAATAATAGAAATTAAAAGGCTATAATAATAATAGATTATTCTTAAATATAATTTAATTATTTTCTTTATTATAATTATTTTATAATAAAATATAAAAATAGCTTATTTATTTAATTAATTAATTATAATATATATATTATTATAACTAGTTTTTAAAAGAAATATTAATTTAAAATCTATATAAATATATTACTAAAAATAGTCTAAAACTAATAAAAAGTATAATAGTCTAGAAGTTTTATTTCTTAATATATTTATTTATAAAAATAATAATTATATAATATTATTTTATATATTCTTTTAATAATATTATAAATATAGTATTTTATATATTTTTACTTTTTTAAAATATATAATAAAGACTTAATTATAAGCTTTATAAATTAAGTCTATATATAATTAATTACTAGAAATTATAAATTATTTATTATATATTAATAAACTATTTTCTAATATAATAATATTATTATTATATATAGCTTATATATAAAAGGCTTATAGAAAGAAAGCTTTATAGTTTCTTTATAATATTTAATTAATAAAGTCTTTAGATTTATTAAGCTTTTTATTTTTATTATTTTATAAAAAAACAAATATATTAATATTAAAGCCGAGATTATAAAGAACCTTTAGGTTAATTTAGTTCTATAAAAGAAAAGCTCTTATATAATATTTCTTTTTAATTCTATTTTAGTATACTATTTCTTTATTTTATTATATAAATATATTAGCTTTAGTATTTTATTTACTAAATTAGTATTTTACTAAAGCCTTAGTCTATTATATTTATTAATTTATAAGCTTTTTTATTATTATAAAGTATTCTAATATCTAATAATTAGTATAAATTTAGATATATTAAATAATACTTTAGAATTTAAAATATTACTAATTAAGGAATTATATAATTATAAGTATTTCCTTATTATAAATTTCATAATTTAATTCTATTAATATTATAGTCTTTAAAAAGAAAATAATAGAATATTATTTAGAGTTATAATATTGAAATATTTCTAAGAATATTAAATAAGCCTTATTAAAAAAGAAAAACACGTTTATATAAAAAAGATTTATAAAAGGCTTTATAATAATTCTATAATTATAAATAAATCTCTTATAAAAGTTATAGAATTCTAAAAAGACTTATATTTCTCTTATAGTTTTTAGGGCTTTCTAATTTTTAATAACTATAACTTTTTTAGAATTAATCTTAATATTATTAATTAATATAATAAAGCTAAAGTATTTTATTTTTATAATATTAAACTCGCACTTTTTAATATCTATTTATAGACTAATATTCTAGAGGTTTTAAAGAACTTTTTAAATATAGATTTAATACTTATTAAAGCTAAATAAAGAATACTTATAAATAGAGTTCTTATATAGAAATATTCTTTATTATAAGAAAACTAAACTAAAGAAAAACAGAAAAGAAAAAAGAATTAAATAAAGAATTCTGAAATATTTATAAAATAAATACTTATTTCTAGCTTTTATTAATATTATTTTATTTGCTTTTTATTTCCTTTCTAATAATATTAGCCAAAAACTATATAATTAAAAGTTTTTAATAGTTTTATTTAATATAAATACCTTTATATTATAAGTAAGCTTATAAGATATATAATTTAACTAAAGATTATAATATTAAAATTCCTAAAGTTTTCCTAAAATAAATCCTATAGATTTTTATTATTCTATTATTTTATAATATAGTAATATATCCTAGCTTTATAATAGTTATAGAGATTCTCTTTTATTGCCTTATTTATATTAATTTAGTTCTTTTATTTCTTAATTCTTGCCTTTTATTTATTTATTTCTATTTTTTTAATATATATATATAATTCGAAATAAAAAAAGAAATAAAAAGCTAAAAACATTTATAAAAGAAGTAGTTTAGTTTAAAGATTTAGTATTAAAAGTATTATATTTATAATAATAAAATATATAAAGGAATTATAATAAGAAATTAAAATAAAATTATAGAAAAAATATATGAAAATTAAGGTTTTAAAAGATTTAAAATCGAAATTAAAATATTTTCAGATATATATATATAATATATATATGTATTCTAAAATAGTTCTCTTAATATTATAATAATATATAAATAGAGATTTAGTTTCTAAGTTTATAGTTTTAGTATTATAGAAATAGTATTTATAAAAGTTCTAAAGTTTAAGGAAAAAGTATTAGAGATTTAGAGATTTATAATTAAGGTATTTTTAACTAGTTTCTAATATAAAACATTATTATAAATAAATAAATAGTTATTT